GTTAACAGAGCTAGAAATGTCACCGGTGTACCTAGTCATATGGTTTTGGATGACGTTGCTCTGAATTCACCACCTGATATTGTCAATGCTTTCGCTTAAATTCTTTCAGTCTAATTTCATAACCTCTGGCAGGGGTGACACTGTCTCTGGTGTGTCTTTTAATGGTCAGTTATGCGACTTACCTAAAATCACAGTAGATCAGGTAAACCATGCTTTATCTAAACTTAGATCCAAATGCTCTACTGGTCCGGATTCAATACCTTCTTTTTTACTTAAAGATTGTTGTCATGTGCTCGCTGAGCCTCTCACTTTTCTATTTAATTTATCTTTGGAACAGAGATGTTATCCTAAGGTTTGGAAAAAATCTCGCATTACTCCTGTTTTCAAAAAAGGTGACCGAAATAATATTGAAAACTATAGAGCTATTGTGATCCTAAGTAATATTGCTAAAGTATTTGAATCTGTTGTTCACGAAATCATATTCACTCATGTGAACCACATCATCACTCCACATCAGCATGGCTTTTTTCCTGGTAGATCGACTACATCTAATCTTGCATGTTTCAAACAGCATGCTGCTGAAATTTTAGATACTTGCGGACAGATTGACGTTATCTATACGGATTTCTTAAAAGCATTTGACAGACTTGACCATGGAGTACTAATACAGAAGCTTTTAAGATGTGGTATATCACTTGGATTCGCAAATTTCCTCAGATCTTATCTGTTGGACAGAATACTTTTCGTTGAGTACCGTGGTTTTAGCTCTGCCAGTGTTTCTGCGACATCTGGGGTGCCCCAGGGCTCCGTCCTGGGTCCGCTATTATTCGCTATATTTGTGAATGATCTCAGTGGCCAACTAAATTGTTGCAACTTATTGTACGCAGACGACTTGAAATTATTTTCTAGAATTGACACAATTGTCGATTGTGTGAAGCTTCAGGATGAACTAGTACGTCTGTATGAGTGGTGTTGCCTGAATCAGCCGTATCTGAATATTACAAAATGCCAGACTATGTCTTTCACACGTAAGCAGAATATAATTGGTTATGCTTATCACATAAATGGTCAAGTCTTGGATGGTTGTTCCATTGTGAGGGATCTAGGTGTTTCTTTCGATCCACAGTTAACTTTTGTGCAACACATTACTGAAATTGTAACCGGTGCGCACAAGACGATGGGTTTCATACTTAGGTGTGGCAAGAGCTTCAATAATGCTAAAACTCTGTTATTGTTATTCAATGCGTTTGTTAGATGTAAGCTCGAATACTGTAGTATAATTTGGTACCCTGCATATGATGTACATTCGGACAGCATTGAAAAGATCCAGCGACGTTTTGCTAAATATTTATGGTTCAAGGAAGATGGGATTTATCCTGAGGCTGGATTTCGCAATGACTTATTGCTCAGTAGATTTAATATGGTAAATTTATCTAAGCGCAGAAATTACTGCGCTGTGGTTTTCTTATATAAAATTTTGAACGACACAGTTGATTGCCAGTTTCTTTTAGAAAAGCTGTCATTACACGTACCGTACCGAAACATAAGGTTTAACAATACCAATTTCTATTTACCTGTGCCTCGTACCAATGTGTTACTTTTTTCGCCAATATATGTAATGTGTAACAACTATGAAAAAGTAAAGAATTTAGTAGACATTTTTCATTGTTACTATATCACTTTTAAAAAGGTCGTTTTTGACTGCAGGTTAAGAACTTATTTAGATGTAATGTGTGTAATGTACTTGATACGTTGTTTATTGATTTTTTTTCTTTTTTTTTGTATTTTGTATATTTCCTGTTCGTTAAATGGAATCACCTGTTCGAGCAGTGTACTAACCGCAAATAAATAAATAAATAAAATAATTACATCTTAACTAAAGATATCATCGGTTAAAATGGTCGAATGGCATCATGAAATTGTATCTGTTGAAGCTCAAAATGTTAATTTTCTGTTATGCTTTTGCGCGAAAATAGTCAAAAAAATGATGGGGATCGTGCGTCCGAATTTTGTGGTGATGATTTCTTGGAACTCTAAATTGTTTGTTGTAGATTTATTTAGCATTAATGCTACAATATAAATGTTATACAGTATATCACATAATATACAGGTTGTGTATACAATGATTACCTAGTGTGAGGTCTAAACGGTCGAGTGTGGGCGCGTCACCTGAGAAGAAGACAGCGTTGTCGTTATTAATGCGTAATATTTCGTAACACAACCTGTATAATATTATGTCCTCAAGACTACATATTTGTATACAAAATTTCACTATTATAAATTCTCGTCTTTCATGAAATATTTTTTCAAATTGCCTAACATTTTCAAACTGACACTTCTTGGTACCATCACTTAATTTATCAAATGCATACAATCTTTTTTGAAACACTGATTTGTTTGTTATACTGCTACTACAATTTTCTAGTGGAATAACTATGGAACTCCACTGTTCAATTGAATAAAATTTTGCTAGTGATTTCATAGAAGATGATTTTTAATCTTAAATATGAAATGAAAACCAAGTAGGTTATGAAATTTTAAATATTTAACCACTGTAGTTCTTTTAGCGTAAAATTTATTCTGGTATATTTATTTAAGATGATTCTCGTGGCTTTATTTTATATTTGTAATTTTGCAGAGAACAAAATAGTCAATTTTTTTAGAATAAACGCTTAGGCTATGCAACATTCTATAAAAGTAATTTATCTTTTTGGATATTTTTGAAATAATATATTCATACTGCCTTTCAAATTTTAATTTACTATCTTTGTACACAAATATTTAAATGACTCGAATGGCTCAATTTTTTTCATGATTATTCGAAAGATTTATAATATTTCCATCCAAAGATTTTGCTATAAGCATACATTTTATTTTGCTTGTCTTTAATTTGAGTTTATTCACATTCAACCAATAAATTATGTTTTTCATATCATTATTTAACAGCTCTAGTGCAGTTTAAATGTCTTTATCTGATATATCAATGTATCATCATCAAATATTTGAATTTTGCAATGTTATAAATCATCAAGTATATTGTTAGTATATAAAATAATGGAATTTGTTGACCTGTGGCACACATACCGAAATGTTTTTAATGCTTGATAGTGTAATGCCACTATTTGTTCTTTGACTCTTATTGACTAAATAATTTTGTAATATGTTGAATACTGAACCTTTAAATCCATAGTATTGTAATTTCGTTAACAATTTCTCCCTGTCAATAGTCTCAAATTCAAGAAAAATGTTACCATAAACCTTTTTTCATCCATATTTCGCCTCCATTCTTCTACTACCATTTGAATTGCTGTTTCAGTAGAATATTTTTTTCTGATTACTGCTTGGAATTTTGATGTTTCCTTCAATATATTCAATGATTTGTTCATATATGATTCCTTCTAACAGCTTCTCATCTTCTGGCAGTACATTAATTAGCCGCATGTTTGTATATAACTCAGAGTAATTGTAGAACATGTTAATTTAGAAGGAAATTCGACATGCACTAAACAATTGATTCACTAACAATAACTTCTATTAAATAATGTTGAAACGTTCTTTTAGCACCATTTTAGAAAGTCGTTCACTAGGATTTCCATTTGATTTTAATCTTGAAATAACATAAACATATTCATGTTTCTAATTGCCTTTCATTTTCATATTGTATAGAAAAAACAATTCAGCTTTCATGCATCTTTTCCGAATTGAAGACCTTCAAAAATATGGTAATAATGTTATTTGTCCCATAAAGAGCTTGATAATAGCATCTTGTAGAGGGCAAATCTTTTTCAGATTTTCCTTCCTACACCACTGGGCAAGAAGAATTTAAAAAATCAAACATTGTGTTTTTCTTGGATATTACGTAAAACCATACCACTCATTTCCATAGACCTGCCTGTCGGGCTGTCTCTATCTGCTAATCCTTGGCCCGTCTATGACTTGAGAAGTGCTGCTCAGGCTTTGATGGAATTTTCACACAAGGTTACTACTATGCAAGGACAGAAAAGCTTTGTAGTTTTTGAAAATCCCAGTGGCGGCGGAGAAAAAATTATATCGCAATTTTTGGATTTAAATTTATTATTATATTTCCCATACAGTTTTGTCTTTGAAACTTAGAATGATAGATAAGTGTTTTCGATACGCGTCTCCTTCTTCCATCTGGGATTAGCGCCCTGTATAAGGGTCTGCTACTGTTCTGCTCCTACTGAAGCTGTGGTTCAGTGGGAGCTGTCGCTACTGATGATATGAGAAGGGACAATGTTGCCAGATGGATGGTAGGGCAAAGAAAGAATGTCTATGGACTAATTGTATGGGCCTATTTGACTGACAGAAGGTTTAGCTTGTGCTGAACTTAATCATTGATGCACTGATGATAGCATTGCATAGGAAGTGCAGAATCAACCTACTTGATGCCATTTTTTTTAACTAAAGTGATACAAAAAATATTGGGGTATAGATGAAACAAAAATCCATGTAACGTTCCTTTCTGTTTTCTTTGAAACCCACCACAAAATACAGATTTATTTACATATCTCTCAAAATGTTGGACATCTAAATAGCTATTGATGCTTTGAAAGTGAGCGTTTGTGGCTACCATCAAGTTTGAAAAAATCACAGAATAATGGTCAAATAATATTGTTAGGAATTTCCACCCAGTTTCAATCAAAAACAATAACATGAAAATGACAGCATATCTGGCCAATTTTTTTAATCTAAGCCTCTAGTTGCCCTTGAATTCAACCCCTACAGATATTTTTTCACCATTATTGTTAAATTGTTAAACCTGTGTGTCAGTACCCTCCAATTCTAAAGCATCCCAATTTCCGAACTTAAAACATGCAAATTACCTATACTATGTCTTTGTACCACTCAGGGAAAGCCCTTATACATTTCACTGGTTACAAGTTTTGGGAACAACTTGTCTTTCCATAACACAAAGAACACCCACTAGATGTGTGATTTAGAAATTTATGAAAATAGAAATTATTCTCAAAACCTGTAAGTTATTACAATAGGAGAGAAATGTCTGCTTGAAATTCAAATTTCCTCAAGTTCAAATCATTTGTTTGACCAATCATTGGGGGCTTCATCCCTTATTTCTATGCAGTATCGAATGTTTTATCAGCTTTTTTACTGAAAGTTCTTTTTCTATATATTCATTTCAAAAGTTTGTTTTATAGTATATCTTCTTAGACTGTTCACCAAGAAATATAGTATTATAATGTTAATACCAAGGTGCACTTTTTATAATGCTTCTCTCTATTATACTACATTTTTCAGATTCAGCAGTTTTTTATTATTTTGTGGATATTTGGTTAAAAGATGCAACAAGTCACGAATGTTTCAATTTTGATGTAAGACACGTAGAATGGGAGGATATGTAGAAATTATTTTTCGCTTTACCATATATAATCCCTGAATTGAACATTTGGAGGATTAATTCCTGGCTACATATCTACAAACCTACCTAGTTACAATTTTCTTTTACCACTTTAGCAGTAGAAAAAAGGTTTCTGAAGTGTATTATTTTACGTACATTTCTGTATTAAGATACTTACCAAAGCAATGAACTCGAGTTTTGAATGAATGCTCAGATGGTCTAAAAAGGCATTTATACCAAGTTCCGCTAAGTGCTTCCTGGCTGTTTCACCCCCTTCGCTAAGGGCTACAGGTTTTGTCATAGACAAGGATACATCCAGTAGGATTACCGTCGGCATTTTTCAACAATATTTCAAATCTTCACTTTATTATAACACTTAGCACTTCTACCGAAAAATTCCTTGTTAAGAGAGAAATACGACGAAAGACGAACTGACCGCAATTATTTCTACTTTTAACATTATTTGTATTGGTGTATGCTGTATTTGAAAAATTTGGAAATTAAGAACGTTTACAGGACAGGACACAAATAATTGAAGTCTGTCACATGTCTGTCATACATGTGTAGTTTGGACTATAGAGTTGAGCAAACGAGCAAACCATTAAAATCGTACTAGAAGGTATCACGATTACTATCGATATTTGCAACATTCTTGATACCTCTTTCCACTACAACAATGTTGAGTATTTGTTCTTTTGCCGAGTCGTTGACTACAGTTACTTCGTCATATTTTGTGCTTGATTTGGAATGGCACGAATACGACAGCATAGATAACAATCAGCTACGAAACTCTCCTGTTACTTTCAAAAACCGCCGCCATTTCGGCGGAGAATGTCGAATGTAAATTCCCCCAGTACAACGATGAAAGAGGTTTTACTGCTCAACAGCAACCGGTGCGCCACGTACCTTGCCAGCGGCCGCCGATATTTTTTTGCAATCGTAAAATAATAATATTTTATTATGATCTAGTGTAGTTTGTGTGATCCAATAATAAATAGGAATATGTTTGTCCAAGAAGAAGCGACTAAGTATTGATGACTATTTATTTATGGAAAAGTTTCTAAATAAATTCGTATTAGTGGAAATATTTACAATGAAAAGAAAAATATTTACTTTTGCCATGAATCATTTGCTGTTGTGATATTTTCAATCCATTCTCAATGTAAACACTGTTAAAACACCGCAATCAAACCTGACACTTCTGACGACTCCTCAGATAGAATGACTCTACATACACGGCCAGTTTTTAATGTGTAAGCGGTCGGTAGATCCGATATTTTAAATACCTAAAAAAGTTAGTTATAAAAATTGTACGCAACTATACGCTCCTTACTTGGAAAATACACCGCACCCCCACAGGGTGATTCATAATTACATGACGACGCATATATTTTTTGTATAAATTTGTTTACAATGAGCGAAGAATAAAAAAATATTCGTGCAAAATGGTTTAGTTTTGCTTACTGATTAACAATGTTTCTTAAATCTCTCATTTATGTGCTCTAATTTTTTCATAAATAAATAATCATCCGTCACTTATTTTTGGAGAAACATACTTTTTTTTGTTATTGATTCGCACAAACTATATATATACAGAAAAGGATCATGGGGAAAAGGTATATACCTAACAAAAAGAAATATAATGGACAAAATCCGCAAAAAGAAGGAAATAGGATTCGAGCAGGAAATAGCATAGGTAACCCGAACGAAACGTACTTCTGCTTGTTGACTTCATCAGGCCCGAAATGGATGCACATTTATGCAAAGATAATAATCAGCTATGAATTCTCCTGCCAGTGTCCAGAACGTCCGCCATTTCGGTGGAGAAAATCGCATATTAATTCCCCTAGTACAACGATGAAAGAGGTTTTAGTGTTCAGCAGCCTCCGGTGCTGCCACGTATCATGCCACCGGCCGCAGATATTCTTTACAATAGTAACATAATGATATTTCGGTATGATCTAGTTTAGTTTGTGCGAATCCAAAATAAAAGGTACTATGATTGTTCAAAAAGAAGTGACGGATGACTATTAATTTGTGAAAAAGCTTCAAAATAAATTTGTAATGGTGGAAGTATTTACAATAAACGGAAAAATATTTAGTTTTACTATATATTCCATGCTGCTGCAAGTAAGTAATGTTTTTCCCCGCTACTGGTTCTAACCTATAACCATCAAACACATGACATCTCGTGGGGAGCGTAACGAACCATGCTTCCAACGATGTATCTTCCTTTGATGTGGGTAAAATTTACCAACGAGAGCCCGAACGTGCCATGTGGTGAACGTTGGACACATGTAAGCTGTCAGCAGTTACTTACCTTTTAGCGATACTTTGTAATATTTTCAAAAAGGTGATTTTATTCTGATATAATATAATAAAAAATAATTCCAGGTAAAAATTAGTTTTAAAAAAATAAAATCCTAAGAGATTTCCGTATAAAATTTTCTTTGGCCTAAGTTTTAGGGTAGGAATAAGATATGCCGATGCAATATTAGCGAGCTCGCATAGAGATCATTTAGTTACTTTTTCATATAAAAAATCATACCAATGCATTTAAGTTTTTAGATAAAATTAACTATTTCTGTCGGAATGTGGAAAACCCGTCTAACGGCCACATGTGACACTAAAAAAACTTTAGATGTTATTGCAATAGCTCTTTTTAACTAGCCCAAGTTTGTTAATATTGGCTCAGCCGTTTCGAACAATCAAGGTGATTTTACGGAAACCTTGCTCTTCGAAAAGGTTTTGGGATAGGTACAATTTGTCCAAAAGTTATATCTTGCTAATGCCTCTCTGCAGACGCCCAAGGATGTCATGAAAAAATGTAATGCGTTAAATGCAAAATTTTTGTTCAAGCCTATTATGGATAACAGTAATGATGAAATCGGTTGATTAGAGGAAGAAGTGCAACAGGCCAAAGAAAATATGAGAACATTATTTACTGACAGTTGTAAAGCAAATGAACTAAAAGAATCAATGTTATATAGTTATACTTAGTTTAGTTAATTTAATGTTTTTCATTAACTATATTAAAGTTTATTTTATTACCCTCTTTAAATCTTGATCTGAACTAATTAAGAAATACATTCAAAATTGTGGAAAATTTTAACCAATAAATATTTCTGTTCAAGGTGATTGCTGCCTCTGCACTGATTTTAAAAATTAAAAACCATTTGAATTTAAAATTTAATCATCATTCACAAAATGCCAACAGAGAGAAATTAGTATTATGATGTAAACATCAACAGTAAAAATATTATATAATTTTCGAAACCTATGAAATAACTCCAACTTTTTTTCTTTTATTTGTAGTTATGAATTATGTACCATACCCGCCTCTGGAACTCTGCGCAAACCTCAGCACTCTTGGTTACCTACATTCTAACATTTACTATTTCTCTGCCTGTGTGAAACAGTGCTGGAATCATAAAGCAAGGAAGCACTGCAACAGGGAAAGTTAGAATTATCCCTTCCAAAAACTGATGGAAAACTAAACCCACGGGGTTCAGGTTATTGCTGCTTCCAGGGACCGGCAATTATTTTATTTCTAACTTTTGGTGACAATTAAGATGAAGAAATAAATCCATTCTGTTTAGATGATATTAGATATATACATATACAGGGTGACTTTGAAGTTGAGTCATTAATTTTCAGATAATGATTGTAGAAGGAAGATAAACCAAAATATGTGTGTAAAAATAAAAAAAAAATAAAAAAAAAAATGTTACCTTGTTTTATAAAGTATCCTCCCGACAAGTATTTCAGTGCGGACCTGTATTTGCTCGTGCGGTCTTGGAGCACCGGCATGCCCTCCACTGTGAGGTCTTAAGTCACCTGATTCACGAGCCCTTTGTGCTACATTAACAAAGGCACGAGGGGTTGGTCGCACTCGATTGGGAAACCGATCCGCATAAATCCGTGATGCCGCGGCAGCATTTTGTAAAGACTCCCCCCCCGTAAATAAGAATCATGTCCACAAGTTCAGCATTTTCGTAAACATGTGCCATTTTTTATTTCGTTTGAGCCACGCATCAAACACCACTATTCACTCACGCGTTACCGATTGACACATTGACTGAATACAACTGAATAACATTGTAGTAAAAACATCGTGATAAGCTTGTCAAATTCTTTCGCTTTCTTGTTTCCGATGCGATGAACCGATAAGGCGGATTATATCCGTTGTTGCCAAACACGAGCACAGAATATTATTATTGAGGCAGGGCGGTACTCAAACTTCTAAAGGGCTATAACTTTGTTACTTTAATTATAAAAAAAAAACTATATCAGAGCTATGGATAAATCTTGTGTCACAACGTCAATTCTAGTTGATCTCAGTAAAGCTTTCGATTCTATCAATCATGAATTGCTTCTTGGTAAGCTGCATTATCTTGGATTTTCTGATAGTACTGTTACGTGGTTTAGGAGTTACTTGCATGAGCGGTCACAGCTAGTCAATGTAGGCGGCTGTATGTCCGATAAGCGTGCGATTTTGAAGGGGGTACCGCAGGGCTCCATACTTGGCCCAATTTTGTTTACTTTGTATACGTTCGTGACATTAAATATTGTTCTATTCAGTCTTACGCTGACGATACCCAACTGTATTTGTCTTACCGTCCTTTCGATTTCCTGGAGGCAAACAGGATCTTGTGATCTAGATCGTGTTGCAAAGTGGTATAACGATCACGGGTTACTTATCAATTCAAACAAATCTGCTGTCATAACTATTAAGTCCATACAAAGTAATTTCGATAGTAACTTGATAAAATTACACCTGGAAGGTGGAGACTTGCCTCATATAAAATCCGTGAAAAATTTAGGAGTAATAGTGGATGAACATCTCACGTTTCACGATCACGTTTCCAGGGTTGTGCAAAATTCATATGCTAAGCTCAAGACAATTTACAGTTATAAACATGTATTATCTAGTCAAACCAAGATCAAGCTTTGTAACTCTTTGATTCTCAGCAAAGTCGAATACGCTGATGCGGTGTATGGTCCATGCCTGACACAGTCGGAAGCTTATAGGATACAAAAAGTGCAAAATAGTTGTATCAGGTATTCATTAGGTGTTCCGAGAAGGGAACACATTACTAGATACATTAAGGATGTCAAGTGGCTCACGATGCGTCAGAGATGGATTGTACACTTGTTGGTCATAGTACAGACAGTCCTATTAACCAAATATCCAGCATATCTGAGCAGCAAACTCTCATTTAGAAGTCAGCATCACTCGGCGAACTTACGCTTTGTAGGTTATACCCTCGATATGCCCCCCCATAAATCAACACAATTCACAAAGTGCTTCTCATACATGGCGCCTTCCCTTTATAACTGTCTATCATCAGATCTGAAAAGTTTGAGTAACAATAATTTTAAAGTTAAAATAAAGCAATTTGTTCTCGATAATACCTAATTCTATACTAAGCTTTCATCTTGTAACTGCTGTGATTCTACATTAAGTGTCTGGTTGTGGTCTTTTTTTTTTTTTTCATTATTTCTGTTTCAGTGAGTGTGTGAGTGAATGTGATTTAAATCTGTCTTCACATTTTACACACTATTATGTTGTATTTGTCACTTTTCAGTACTATATGTCTTGATCATTATTTTTTTGTATCTGTGATTTTTTTTTTTTATGTTTGTTAAACTTATGTAGCCCTGGTTGGTACCAAAAGCAGCTATTAGCTGATACACCCGCCAGGTAAAATAAAGGCATATTATTATTATTATTATTATTATTTACCACAAAAATGTTAAAGGAAAAAACATTTCTTTTGATCAGATCTACTCACTGTTAAAATAAATGACTCAACTTCGGAGTCACCCTGTACATGCAGCTAAAGACCACAAATGAAAAGGTTCGTTTTTTTAAAATTCAAGAAAAAAATTAATATCTCAAAAACGGTGACACTTTTATATAGGTAAGTTTTTGTTATTTGGGAGGTCAGTCCAAAGCCTACCTTCTCCTTAAGTTTGTCGCGGTACTTATTAGAAGTGTTACACCCAGAAAAAAATAATTTCTTCAACTTGTTTTCTTGGTAATGACTTAATCTTACATCAAGAATGAAACGATGACATTCTCACCAAATTGTATTGACAAGTAATAAGAAAAAAAATTAATAGTGTTGGGCGACCCCGCAACTGAATACACTCCTGTATACGTTTAGGCATCTACAAAATGGGATGATCGATGTCTGGTTGTGGCACCTCATTCCAAGCAACTCGAACTTCGTAGATTAGCTGTGGCAGAGTCTGTGGCGGATGGTGCATAGTGGATAATCTCCTCCCCATCATATCCTACACATGTTCGATGGGATTTAAATCCGGTGAACGGGGTGGCCACGGCGAAACATTCATGCCTGTTTCTTGAAGCAAGTCCGTAGCACGACGAGCAATATAAGGACGTGCGTTGTCTTGCTGAAAAAGGACGTGAGGACGGCCCTCTATAGGTATACGGCAGTAAAGTGGTTTGTAGGACATCATCAACATAACCCGCAGCAGTCATATTGCCTTGAAGAAAGAGAAGGGGTGGTCGGCTACCATAGGCAATAGCCCCCCAAACCATTACTTCAACAGTCATGTGTACATGCCTTTCAACGGCAAATCCAATATCACGCCGTTCTCCACTGTGGCGCCTTAGCCTTACCCTTCTACGACCATCGTGCGTACCTAGACGACAGAATCGCGATTTGTCGTTGAAGATGACATTATGCCATTCTGCCTCCCAATGTTGCCGATCTCACTAACCGTAAATGCTATAAAAAAGTCCAAAGTCTCGATTGCGGCGATAAAGTGTACACATACTAACAGGTCTACTTTCTTCTCCACGCCATTGGTCAGCGATCTGACGATTATAGTAGCAACACGGTTTCTTAGGGCTAGTTGTTTATGTAAATGTATGGGCTTTGAAAGGGCAATAACTAAAAATATCTGTACTATTCAGCTGTCAGAAATTGCTTTCTTCACAAAAACTAAGAGATAACATTTTAACAAAGGTAAACACAAACAAAGATAAAACGTTGACATTGTTGCCACAGCATGCTTTAAATATAGTCATTATGTTGCCAAAAAAACAAGTTGAAGAAATTATTTTTTCTAGGTGCAATACTTCTAATGTCCCTGAGTATATTTGCCCATCTCCACAGTGCTTTTTGTGTCCCCCGATTTTAAAAACAAAACATTTCCAGAAAAACTTAAAAAAATGTCTTTGATGTTGGACTATATGAAGAATTGCAAAACTGTGACAATAGAATGTAACCAGTATTAACAATGTTTTAATAACTTCAAACCAGTTATGTACAAAAATAAAACAAACAAACAAATCAGATGAACTCGCAATAACATTACACATAATCCAAAACATGGAAGTAAGGGTATCAAAACTAATCAAAGCATATTTTTTCAAGCTGTGGTCAGCTTTAGATCTATTACTCCTTAGCGAAAAGAATGCAAGAGAGGAAACGATGCGGTGACCGCAGAAACTGGTAGTTTGTTAGTCTCCTCCTAGTCTCCTAAGTTCATGATTTGCTACTATGATGTATTATAATCTTATATTTATACCACCCTCTCATAGCCCTTCCATCAGCATTAACCATTCTAATACTGCTTACCCAACAGAATTGTGAAACGAGAGAGCTTGAAAATTGTATTAAGACTCTCAGTATTTTTATAACTATTGTATTGATCCAAACAAAAAATTGCAATAATTGTAGGAGTACAAAATAAAAGTAAAACATATTAAAAATTACAGCCCAGTATCTGACATCCCCCTTTCCCGCCTGTATAGGATAGGACATAAATATTTGATTCTATTGTTCCCGTCACCGGAAAGTACCTCATTTTTGTTTATCAGATTGGCAAAAAACATCCCACTGTTTTTGGTTGTTTTATAAATCGCAATCTGTCACCAGGATCGATAAAATCAGTAAGTTTTAGATTTTATGAGTATTAGATTTGTCTTCATAGTGCAATTAAATCTTCATTCTTTACGATTACTACAGTCGGGTTGTTCGTATGTTTTAGAAATATACGACGGAGTTATTGGTCTTTTGAACTTTTACTGAATATTCCAAATCAACATAATAAAAAAACCGATTGCGTGTTTGAAAGTCATGTGCTCATCACTTTTGGAGAAAGACAATCACATATTTATCATTTTTTGTCTTTTATTTTCCAACATTTCTACAGCTGCACTTATAAAATCCTTAGGTTATTTAATGTTTCTTGTGAATGGTCATCTCATCTCGATTAGCAATAATTTATTGCAGTATAAACATAATTTGTTTTATTTCTTATACTCTATAGGCTATTTGTTAGCGCACTTAGAACATATACATAGTGCATGTTTTAATTATCTTCTGGTTCCTGAGTATCACAAATCTCCTGGAAATATAAAAAAAACGTCAAATAATAATAATAATAAATGGGCTTTATTTCGTACAAAGTACAAAAAAAGGCGAAGTGTCGCGAATATCAAGAAGCGTTTTTCAACTTAACCTTAACCTAAATAAGGCTACGGTTGCTATGGAGCTATGGATGCGAATTCTGACGAAATTCTGTTCTGATGAGTACTTCCGAGATCCTCGTCATTACCAAGATGCAACATCATCAAAGTTTTCATTTACTCTGCAATGTTTCTATAAATTACAAAAAATAATAGTTTTCAATGTTTTCAATATTACCCTCAACTAATATAAAAAGTATTAGCATTATGTTGTCCTTTTATTTAATAATCTAAGACCAAGTATATGACATCACATCATTAAAATCGGAAAAAGGGACTATTCACTTATTCCTCGTTCATAAAAACGGAAGCCGTGCTTGTCCGATCATATTACGGACTATGTCATGCAGCGGCGAAAAAGTGGCAATCCTAATGTACTATTTCTTTTGAAATTCCATCTCAAGCAAAAGAAAAAAGATTCTGGGAACATTTAAAAGCCTTTACAATTTCACTTTGAGAATTACATGAAATACTAAGTATTTTCCTATTTCATAAATAAATGCCAACCATGAATATACCTGTTTGTTTTTGTTTAAATCAATCCATACTGAGCGGGGACGTAGCAAATGCTTGTTGTGGAAGCTGTTGTACTCAGTGTACCACTTCTTCCGTTCAAGTGATGGTAAACGCGTTAAGGAATACCTCAGTATCGATTGCCGGTACGGCCGTACAAGTCCGCCAACGGACCACTTTAGGTCTATTTAACATCATTACCAAGCAAAAAGAAGGTTTCAGACAAGAATCAATCGACCGAGGCGATACCACCAGCTAGCTTTTTCCAGGGTGTCTTAAGAATGTCTATCTTCCTCAACAAAGAAACTAATGATGATGGATCCCTCGCGTACTAAGCATACCGGACGTAAACTCGCTTTATTCTTGGAATGTCTACGTGGATGATGGACTCGAGGGAACAACATCGATTATAAAATTTGTTTCACGAACATCTGCGGAATTATCAGCAACTTTGTTGCTGCTCATCCCTATATGCAGTCTAAACGTCCCGCCATGGTTTTCTTGGCAGAGACAAAAATATCTGCACCAATTAATCATCTCAACTTCCCAAATTACGAGGTGCACTTCAATCTGAGGAAGAACATGGGAGTTGAAGCTTTTGCCCGCAGCAGTCTTTCCTGCTCCACAGATGTTTCTTTTCTGTGGCTTCGCCTCAACTCCAAATCATCGCCCAAATTTCTTTGCTGTTCTCCTCGGAGATTTCAATGCCCAAAACGAGCTTTGGTTGGGCTCAAATAAGACCGATGCAGCAGGTCGTGCAGTTGAAGCGTTCGCTCTTACTCAAGGGCGGATCCATCTGGTGACGAGCCCTATCTTTTCACCCGCATTCTGTCACACGCCACTAGCCTGCTGGATCTCTTTCTGACTACACACCCTGTCCCTTACCGCACTGTGTCCTCTGGTTAAGTAAGACCACGGTGTTGTGGAGGTTAGGTTTCGGTCAGAACCGGCTGTGGCAGCAGAAACTCGCCCAGGCCACAAAATCTGACATCGTGGACATGTCGACTGGGAAAAGCTCAGATACTTTTTCTCCACCTTTCCTTGTATAGATCTTTGTTTCGCTGTCGTGGATGTATCGACCGTGTGTTGATCAATAACACAAATCGTGCGACACTGCCTGTCAGTAGATGATCTGGCCCGTACACATCTCGTCAATAGCGGCAGTTGCTGGGAAAGGGCTAAGAAGTACTTTCCTCTACATGACCTTACACTGTTCAAAGCCCAGATAAGACCTAGCCTCGAGTATTGCTCACAAGTTTGGGATGCTGCCACGCCGACTACATTATCCATGATCGATGACTCTTGTCTAACGGACAGTTTCGGGACCTTTTCGCACCGGCGGGCCGTCGGCGATCTAGCTTTCTCCTCCATGATGCCGCCGCGTGATGTGCCTACCAGACAGATCCGCCTGATTTCGGCCTCAAATCCTAACCGTGCCGAGCCTCGCACATTAAGAAATGGCCGATACGACCGCTCCTTTGTCGAGTATCGATACTGTGGAACAGTCTAAATGTGGAAGCTTTTTGCAGTTTTACTAACCTTAGGTAAATAAAAAATCGGATTTACAAAGTTGTGTGTGGCTGCTTCGGTGTAAAAAAAGATGTTACCGTGACAATTTGCAGCCGAACAGTACCAGTGATTAGAGCACCCTAGTTACTTTATCGATCTAGAGCCTCTATAATAGTATAAAAATATTACCTTATTACGTTTCCCGTATAGAGAGTAAAATGTCATTTTTGCCGTAGATTTCTGTCCAGTTCTTTGGCTGAACACTGAACACGTGTTGAATGGAGGACAGTACAGATGTAGGGAGATGGCTGTGTCGACATTGGAAACGTTCTCTACTCTATGTAGGCCCAACGAATCTGAAAATAACTGAATCAATAAAAGTAAAAGAACTACGTATTTATAATAATTGCATTTCGCACTAACTAAAACAAAATGGTTTATAAACAGTATAGCAATGGGAGAACAGGAGTCATCCCATTTGATGAAATTTGTTTATTGACTTTGGTGGCACTGATGAAGCTTGAGGTTATTTTAGTAAGTATTTCTGCATTGCTTAGTAATCGTTATGGGCGTCCGCAGCGAGAGGTTTTTATTTCAATTTTTATTTTTTGATCTAGAATGTCATAGATGTAAATCGCTTCATTCAATCAAGTAACACGGGAAAAATATGATTTTTAGGCGAACGACCTCACAGTCGTTTTAACGATTTTCTAAAAGTTACAAGCACTGATTTTTTTCAGCATACTTGATTTTTTCAAATAGAAAGGGGGTGACTCGTCGGATTTTTCTAAGACACCATTTTGTACAAATAATTTGACACTACACACCCTTATTTTATTTTCACTATTTTTCTCAATAATCATGAGAAACGAACATACCTATAATAATACGTATCCGCATTAGGTATACCTATGCACTAAGTCCTATTATTCTAGTTATCCGTTACAAACAATTGAAGGTGTCGCTAGGGTTACTTCAACAAATACCTAATCTAGGAAATTAAAAATACTGTCAGATTTAAAAATTTATTTGTTACGTAGTTAATTTACAGTGGAAAACTATACAAGAAGCGAGAAAATTGGCATGCTGTTTATTTACGGGGAAGCAAGAGAAAATGCTGATTCAGCTCGAATTTATTCTTAGAGATTCCCTAATCGTCGCTATCTCACTCGGCATTATTTTCCAAAACTCTGGAACAGAAAATGCGAAATGGACCAAAAGAAAATGCCAATAACTTAACTAATTTATTTAACTTAACCAGATAGAACATTTATGTACACCACTATTTATGTCTGACTAATTCTTATGTCGCGCCCTTGACTGAACTATACCCCACTCTGCTCTACTCTACTCTTCTCTGCTCTACCCTGCTTCCATGCGTACATCAGCGTTAGTGAAAATAATATATGATTATTGCAGCATATTTAACACACTCTACTTGATGTAAATGGCGGATAATTCTGAAATGTGTTTTTGGAATATGAAGTCAACTTGGTGGAAAATATTAAAGTACTCGTAGTTATTAACTATTTTCACTGTTATTTCATTCAACATTACGTGCACATTTGAGAACTGACATACATAACCCAATGTTAGTCACAACTGATCAACAAAATTTGACAGGAATATGTGGACAATTTACTATGATAGGCATCAAAAATGTAGTGCTTGTTGAACAGTTGTGTCCAGCAAACACCAACAAGGAGGTCTGAAGTAAGCTCTTGTCAGGAAAGGAATAAGGAAAACAATAGAAAAAACAACAAAGAACAACGAAAACTTGATAAAAAGTTTGCTGTCTCTTAGGAGTGATACATATTCTTACCAAACTTTGATACTGCATCTATTACAAATGGATTGAATATCTTGAGAGCTAAATGAACATCTTGTATTTCAAGGCTTTTAGGATATAAAGCTTTTAAGGTCAAATCATTAGTATGTTTCATTATTTCATGACTTTCCATTTGGTACAATGTTTTAAGAGATTTAAATGAAGCGACACTAACCTCATGAGTTTCAAAATCTAGCTATGTTAAAATGAGACCAACAGGTCTGGTTTTGAATTCAGCCAATTATTGTGGATACACTGTATCAAAAACAAAGAAAATACGTTTCTATCCAATGGATATACAATGCTTGCATCTGGAGAAAAATGTGTGATCGCTTTCTAATAAGTGCATTATTATCACAACGCAGAAAAATGTGTAACCTATTTCCTCTAATCCAATAATAAGTTTTTTTGTAATGTTGTATAATTGATTAGGCTCAATTTTAGAAACAGGTCAGTTGTGAACAGCTTCTTTGAATAAAAGCTTGAAATTATAAATACTGTTGTAGCTAATGAAGTACATATTAATTGATGTTCCAACTACACCCTTTGAAATCTAAACATGGCTGAATGTGTATTTCATCCATCAATAGAATCATGTTCTCCTCAACTGGTTTTACATATCTGAAAAGGTTCTTTGCATAGCCTGAAAAGTTATGTCTCTCATCTGGAATTAGATTGACCATGAATGTATTACAAATTGACTTCAGAGTATTTTGGTCCTCCATGGCTCCTAATGAATCTATATGAATGTGGACTAATAGTATACAACATAGAGCCAAACTGTGTCTAAATATGGAGTCTTTAGTATTACCCGAGTTGAGTGTCAGTCCTTGGGAGTACCTTTTACATCCAGATCTTTATCAACAATTACAAAGTGTGTTATAATAGCTGGTTTATATTCGAACTTTATACTGAACAACTTTATGCCACTCATCTGGAGATTGTCACGAACTGAAAACTGCGAAAGTCTGAATATATTGAAAACTTGTACATTTTTGTTGGCGGGTACTTTGCAGTGATTTAAGTACATAGTTGCTTGTCCCTCAATTTTTAATTTCGGCTTCTTCAGCTTGAGATGTCCTTTGAAAAGTATTTTGGGCAATTGGTGGGTTCCCACTACGAGGGATGGCATTGAGCCATCTTATGCGCCCATTTTCATTCACGGCGAACGGAACCTTCGGACCTTTCGCGTAATTACGGGCAAAATTAGGAACGCCGCACTTGTAAGGCATTTTGGAAACTTAGGGAAACAATTGCGAGACACAAATACAAGTTTAAAACAACAATAATAAACATAAAATTCATACATGATAATAACCTCAGAATTTGATGTTGCCACATATTGTATTTTTGCAGTCATGCTAGACTTCACACGTGACAGATTGAACGTAATATCGAGACTGTATTCTTGACATACTGAGGCCGATCAGAAAGAATTATCAGATCATCATTGAAGCTGCGCAGCCCCCGAGTATATCTTGCAAATTCGCCCACAGGAAGGTATAACTAATTAGAAGAGATTTTGATACTGCTATATCATACCTAGATATGTCAACACCGCTCCTACCAGCCAGCATGGCGAAACGCCATAAGCATATGAACTGGCCTACTTAGCGTGACGTCACAGTCTTTTCGCAGCTGAGTTGTTTGGCCTTGTTATATCGGGGGTAACGTCAGTGCGCATGCGACTAGCGACTATTCTCCCACCAACGGCAACGGTGTGCGCTCTTCCTGTTTGAACAGGTATAGTCTAGTCTTTTATGGTCTAGTCTAGTGTCTAAATTCTATACCAGTCCGGAATCCGCAACACAATTTGGCTGAGAAGTGAACAAGCGGAGTTTTGTGGATCTGGTTGGTATTAACGCTATTTTCTATGTTCTACTCATTTTTTATTTTCCACGCATAAGCCAGAAAATTAATTTTTGTTTGTTTTTAATTTTTATACTATAAAAGAATCGTGTCTAAAAAAATGGGAATTTAATATAATTTCAACTACGAAGTGTTTGGACCATACTCCAGCTATCATTATTATCTATGTCTATTTTGTCTCGGAAGTCCCTGTATATAAGCACTTCAGTGCATTTCGTTCGTCCGGGATTGCAAATTATAGGTATATTTAGTTTTTGAAAATTGCGCGACCTCAAGAAATCTTGTTTTCCAAACAGAAAAGGGTCTTTGTTATGAGATACGTGAATTCGTGGAAACCAATAATGCCGTTTATTTGACAATATTTGTGTAACTTTTAGTGCTGATGGTTGATGGCTGCTGTTGTCAGAATGAGTAAAAGAAAACAGAATATACCATCGATTGGTTCCTTTCTAAACAAAACAAACTGTCTGATCCACCGGCACAAGAATTATCGGAAAAGACTGATGATAATCCTACAATTCAACTTGAGCCTTCCACTTCAAAATTTCTTGATCTTGCACCGTATGCCGAACCAAGTGTTGAATAATCGGGTGCGAAACCTAAAGGATCCAATTTTGTTGATATTGCGCCATATGTAAATTTCAGCGGCAACTTGTCTTCCCATGAAAAATATATCTTATTGAGGTGTGCAATGATCCCTAATGACTATTTCAAATATACATGTTATATGCACTCACAACAATGGACTTACTATTCCATACAACGTTCCATCAGACGCTAGCTCAGCAACAGATCACGACTTCTCGCTAACTCGTTGCTTATGCTTTGTTTTCTAGAAGTGCTTTGTAAGCACACCAATAGTATAAATAGGCCTTGCGCCCATTTCATGTTGTTCAATACCCGGCGCGACACCGTAATGTACGCTAACTGATAAGTTCAATACCCGGCTAGGCACCGTAACAGTCACTTATGTAAACTTCGTGTTCAATTGTAAATGTTTGAAACGGACAGTAGTTCCTGTCCTCAAATAATTTTTTTTAAAAACAAAAGTTGAATTTAAATGTTATAACATACATATTCCACACACTTGAAAAATAATAAAGCAGTGAAATGTTACTTATAAAAAAAACACTGTGAGAAATTTCCTTGGCTGTCATATTCAGAGGAACTACAAGGGCTTTTCTGTAAATATTGCGTGGTTTTTGCAAAATTAGGAGGAGTACATAAATCAACTAAATTGGGAAAACTTGTTACCGTACCACTAAAGAAATTTTCGAAATTGTATGGCAAAACCGGTGATTGTGAGACACATGAGAACTCAATATATCATACAGAAACAATTTCAGATGCTACAAACTTTTTGAAGATTTACGAAAATCCAGGGAATGATATAAGAAATATAATAGGTTCAGAGCGAATTAAGTAAGTATCAGAAAATCGGCAAAGATTGACTCCTATAATAGAATCTATAATTTTTTTAGGACGCCAAAATATACCACTTAGAGGGCATAGAGATAGGGACTTTTTTCTAATGACAGCACGAATGACGAGGATATCCTTAATAATGAAGGGAATTTTAGAGAACTAATAGGTTTAGAGTCGAGAGCGGCGACAATTTATTGAAAAAAAGAACTTAGATAACTCAAAAGCGCATGCTAC